AGGTATTCTTGGATGAATTTTTTCCCAATGAAATAGCTACCATCTTTTTTCAGGGAGTGTTGTTGTTTGTTAGAAACAAATGTTTCATGTTCACATTGTACCAAAAGAGACTTCTTCATTCGATTACACGCCTACTAAAAATCATCCAAAAAGGCATCTACGTCAATGTAAAGTGAGCAGAAATCCATGGTGTGTGATGCACAGGCAATTAAAACACAAAGAAGAGATAAGATGTGATGGAAATCGTCTCCTCTGAATGGTTTGCAGGCCAGGAAGGGGTCCTTCAGTGGGAAATCRATTCTTTGAGGATGCACAGCTGAGGCTCTAAATGTACTTTGTGAATGCACAGGAAGCTGCGCGTTTAACACGATCACAAGCATGTATGARCACGATGTCTGTACAGCTCCACGACTCTGTGATAAGTGTTGTGTACAGGACTGATTTATTCCTGCACATCAGCTCTCAGAGGGATAATACCTGGTAAAAGATGATCTTGTGTTGTAGCTGCGTAGTGAGATGGCACAGACGCGCTCCTCCTCGCGGGTCTTTATAGTCTGTTGTCACAGCGGTGTGGTTCTAACAGAGTGTGGCTCACTGAGTTGTGGGAAATCGTGCTGCTTTCTAACAGCATATGGTGGCTCTGTTGTCATAATTGCATGTTGTCTCATTTCTGTTCAGGAAGCGTGGAGAAAAGTGTTTGAACACTTTTCTTTAACAACTAAAAGAAGCATAACAAATTATATTGAAGCCTTCTTTTTATGGAAGGAACGCATACTGTCTGCAACTTCTCATGTCAGCGTTTTAAAGAGAAAAGCAGTTTTAGCCATTCTGGGTAAAGCTTATAAACAAGGTAATGGCTAAGACATTTTCAAGATGTGTTAGTGTCTTGAATATCTTCTTTAAAAAAAATCCTCATCGGCTCTGCTGAAAAGTGTAGAACAATCGAGCTGAAATGAGAAGCGGTCCCGCTGAGCATTTCTGTGCAGCTCAGCACCAGGAGTCCAGGTGGTGTATGACCCAACTGCTTTACGAGCATACGATGAAACCACCGTCAGCACTTAGAGTGAGAACAACTGTGGACTTAAGAAAAAAGAGTGGGGATAAGAACCAAACCAACAACCTGACTGCTCTGATTCACTGACAGATTCACTGACTAACAGATAAATAAGAAATGTCACTGTTTCTGTTTTTAACCATTGTACATTTTATTAACAAAATGCACCACACAACTTGTAGTTTTCATACAAATTTAAACTAGATATTTAGTTTTAGTTCGTTGTTGATATTTAAATGCAGACCTAAATCTCTGCTGCATCTTTGTGAAAAACCTCAGGTCTAGATATTTCCAGCTGAAGTTCTGTGATCCGTACTCCTCCTCCTGACCTGATCTCAAACAACAAACGGCAGTCAGGAGAAATAATAATTAAACTGTCTCATAAAAGCCCTACATGGATGTAGGTTTGGGTACAAGCAATGTCATCGGTTCTGTCCTTCCCCGCCTCCCTCCCACCCTCTGAGTGAGCACCATTATTGTCTCCCCAGCGGGAGGGATCCCTTGTTTCCAGGCTGAACGTGGTAAACATCTCATTTCACCCAGGAACAGGGAGACACAAATCACTCTGTCACTCCAAGGTATTTTAGTTTCGTTTGCTTGTTTATTTTATTTTCACCTGCCAGTAAAAGTTGGGCAATAATGTCTGTTCGCAAAATATCACATGGATCAAAACTGCATTATGGATTTGGTCAACTAGTCTCTGAACGCAATCTACACTATTTTTTCCATACTGAGATTGGAGCAAGGGGAGCACAGCTGTCCCAGTGGAATGGTGGTGGCCAGGTGAGTGTCTGGTTCTTGGGGGTGGAACCTCATCTGTTTGGCGCCACCTTCCATTGAAGACGTGGAAGATTTGTACATATTTGGATTTATGATAACTGGATTCCTGCTGATTGGCTGTGGAGGAGTTCTGGCTTATCGGAAAATGAAAGTGATCCTGACAGCAGTCCARCCTGTGAGAAGCTGTCAGGATGCTTTGATGGAGTCTCCCGTACTGGAAACGCACAGACTCAGATGTTGGGGGATATATGTCGCAAACTGGACATGATTCMGACGAGAATCATAGTTCAGCAGCATGCCTGTGAGGAGTAGGATTACACCTGGGTGAAGCTTCAGTTGGAAAGAGAGGCGAGGAGGTAATGAAATTTGGAACATTGGCATTTTCGCCATCATAGATGCATTGCAGTTACAGACTTAAAGCAGCGAGAAAATCAAGGCTGCCCAAAACAATTATGTTTATCTTTTGGATCCCTGCAGCTGCTTACCTTGGCTCGGCAGTTATCAAACTCCCTGGATGACATGTGAGACAGAGGCTTGACTCCCCATCCCCTTCCCGTATCATCCGTGGGTGGATCAGTCTGAAGGCCGCGATGGGTGGAGACAGAGAACTGAACTATGGTGATTTGTGCTTTGGTTGATAACTTCTTTTGGACTCTGGAGGTCTTTGATTGGTTCCAGCACAGAGTTTTAACCTTAAACGTCACCGGCTCTGCTGCATCCTACCCCGTACCATGTGTTTGATTCACAGCCTCCTCCCTTCCTTAGCTGTTTTGCATTGTGCGAGTGGTTTTTTTGAGCGTATGATTCTGTGTTTCTGTGTAAACATAGGATCAGAGCATCTTTTTTTAAACTCGTCTTTCCTATTATGTGTATTCCAAGCATTTTAAAGGTAGCGTGACCCCTACTGGTTGCCGCATGACCTGATCACCTGTTCCCCCATGTTTTTGTCATGTGTGTGTCTTCTTGAATGGGTGTTCTTAAATGTAATTTTATTGTGCAAACAATGACAATAAAGGCCATCATCATCATTRTCATCATCATTATTTTAATGAAACTGATGACAATTGTAGCTGAGAGTCATCCCCAACTCATAATCTGAGTGCTAAAAGATTACAAAAGACTGTTTAAAACTTTGGCATTACTGTTGGGTCAACCCTGTGTTAGCAAAATATCACAAATCACTAGGTGGATTTTAATGAAACTCTAGGAAAGCTACAATTGAATGACTGTTGGAGTCGATCCAACTCAATAAGTCTACTAAAGTCAACTCAACCTTTTTTATAAAATCTTCTTCAGCACTCCTCAGCCAATCAGCAGTGGCCAGGAGGGGTTACAGCAGCATCAAGCCTTTCCTGAAGGCGTTTGCACTCAAAAACGTGTTTATCTAAGATGGCAATGCTCGTCTCCCTCCACGGCACATAAGCAAGTCCAAGAATGCAGACGAACTACCCGAACAGAGGGAGCTGGTAGAAGTGAAACTGCAGTCTGAGAATCAGTAACCAAACGGCAGGTTTCATTAAACTACCAGCAGCTCAGGAAAAAGTCAAACCTATGAAACATTTTGATTTTTCTCCTGATAGATTTTTGTCTCAATAAGATCATCTCACATCACTGCTGTGTTGTAAAATATTCTACTACAAGCTCGGTGACTCCAATGTGTTTGACTGAGACCATAAAAGAACTTGTTTTCCGTTTCCGAAGCAGGTAGATTCACTCTGGAGGAATGTGTGTAAATAATTACACCAGAGGATGATGACATCTTTCTGTCAATGAACAGATCGCACAAACTTCYTGAAACGCCTCTTCCTGCAGACACTGAGATTCACAACGGCTAGATTTACACAGGAAGCATTAGTTTATTAAAACCAATTAACCCTCATACAACTTAATCTGTTGTCCCTTTTTCTCATGCTGTTGCAGTGACGGTCAAATAATCAAACCACTGGACTCAAGAAGAGCTGAGGGAACACTTCTAACAAATGACCAAGCTCATCCTGCTCCAGGCAGGATGGAGAAATATTTTAGAGTTCATTTGTGACAAAAAGGTGGCTGCAAAAGTCAAAGGAAATATTTACAATTAGTAGTGAGACCAGTTGTGCTGTATAGTTTAAAATTTATTAACACAAAGACAGAAGGAAGAACTGAAGATGCTGAGGTCCTCCTCGGGAGTGACGAGGGTTAAGATAAAGAATGAGATCATCAGGCTGRTCAGCACAATTTCATTCTGTTGTTGTTCTTTTGTTTTCATTTATATTTCTAAATTTAGAAAAAAAATTTAGAATGTTTGACACGTGCAAACATTACATGAAACTTTAACGCTACAAAGATGTTAAAGGGGACATTATGCAAAATCAAATTTACAGTACAGTATAGTTATTAAATGTATGGAGTCTCTAGGAGAAATTTTGTATTTTGTGCTGCATTGTTATCTTTATATTCTGTTTGGGTCATATTTTTAACCMATTCAGTTTTCTCTACAACTGCATCACAGTCTTTGAAACAGAACTTCCAAACACGGTCTGGACTTACCAACGGTAATTCTATCATCTTCATGCTCCTCTCTGGGTCTGGCTCATGTTAGGCTGGATGGACAAGTCTTCCCTTGAGTTTTTTTATTTTAATTTGTAAATAAAATGTGTCTGCACTGCTAGATAATCTTAAACCCCTCTCTCAAGCTAGAATGGACAGGTMTGGAAGCTGGATGGGGGATGTGAAGCACCTGGAATTAACGAGACAGACTCAAAATGAGTTGATCTCAGACTTGCCTCAGAAAAGGGGTAAAAGAGGGACTTGTGGAGTTACAGTAAGGAGAATTTCAGACCAACGCATTGTAGTTCCACCTTACTGAAYAATTTAAACATAAAGAAGGGTTTAAAAAAGGTGACATGTGTCCTTTAATGTGGCTCTTTCTGTTTGAATGATCCAATCCTATTTTACCTGCAGATTGTGTTAAATATCAGGTAAATCTGATTATGTAAAAATAAACACATCCAATTCACATTTAATCGCTTGTTGGATGGATTTTGAAACAGTTTAGTTAACTCAACACTGCAGGAAACTTAAAGACAAAAAAACGCAAATAACATCTTTTTTTCTGGTGCAGCTGCAGCCCGGTCCATTGAGGTAAGGCTTCAGACACAACAGTACCCAGACAGACTGTCCTCACCTTGAACTCCACAGACAGCTGCGGGGTGTACTCCAGGGTCCACAGCCCCCGGACCAGCGTCGCCAGCTGCTCCGTGACTTCTCCCCCGGAGCTCCGCGCCTCCTCTCCCCGCGCGTCGCCGCTCGTCCCCCCGCGGCGGACGTCCGCCTTGTACTGCTCCAGCCCGAGGTGCTCGGCCAGCAGGTCGGTGTTGCTGAGGCACTGGACCACGGCGTTCATGAAGCAGGTGTTGCCGTGGTTCTTCAGCCCCAGCACGCCGGGGGTCTTGTCACCGTAGCACCACGACAGCCGGTCCTTCACCRAGCCGTGCGAGGAGGACACCACGGAGCCCTTCTTCTTCGCGGCTCCCGCCGGCTCCCTGGAGCCGAGCGCGTCCCTGGCGTGACCCGGGGCGCCCTGGCCGAAGCCGCCGTCATCGTCCTCCGCGTCCGGCGGCTCCGCGTCGCCGAAGTGCGTCAAAGTGCCCAAAGTTTTCAGAACCCTTCCCATGAAATCCCTGAAGGACCGCAGAGATTTCCTCCTCACGAACCCCCCCTGTTTGTATTTCTTCTCCTTTCGCTTCGACGTTTTGGCTTTCATGGGCTGTTTCCTCGCCTTGCTCTCCTTGCGGGAATCCATGGTTCCGTCGCTGGACCGGACCGAGACGAAATGAAGGGAGGACTGAAGGAGTGCACCTGTCTGCCAGGGCTGTCTACCCCTCCTCCGCACACCTCAGCACCGACTGAGCACCACTAAGSCACATGATGATGTTTGCCCTCAGACATCCATAGTTAGTTGTCAGCAGAGTTGCTCCCCCTCATAGAGGTGGGCTACTTCCTCATCAGACCTGGATTCAGAGCCTTTAACCCCCCATAAACCTGCCTCTCATTAAGTGGAGCTACAATCAAGCACTCTCTAAAAAACAAATCAGCTCACACAATGGTTTAAACCATATTATTTATAATAATTTATCCTATGGTTATAAACATTCAATGTGTGATAAAGTCTTCATGTTGGAGTTTGCTCACCGGGAAGCAGGAAGTTGTTTTAGGTGTTAAAGTGTGGCTTTAAGCTGCCCCCTGTAGGACCAGTTCCAACATCACCTGCCTGTTATTTCCACAAGGTGTTAATGGGATCAAGCTGAAGGCTCATGGGCCAGTGGCGCCCCACCAAGGATGGGTTTAGGGTCATAATGGCAGAGTTGTAAAGTAACTAAGTACAAATGCTTCTTTACTGTACTTAAGTAGAATTTTGGGGTATCTGTACTTTATTTGAGTAATTATTCTTCAGCCTACTTTTTTACTTTTACTTCTTACATTTTCACACAATCATCTGTACTTTCTACTCCTTACATTAAAAAAGGCAAGAAGTAGAAAGTCGTTACTTTTATTTCATTTTTACTTGTTTTCATTCCAGCTTGTTATTGTAAAAAATAAATATCCATATAAACTGTGCCTCTTAGATAGACTGAATTTAATTGTGGTTGAATGAGAAGTATAAATATCTAAAATTTTGATACTGTATTCAAAAGCGGAGGGGAGTATTTGTATTTCATGAATTATATTATTGTATTTGGCCACAGCCCTCAGACAGGTTTTCATTTTGGGGAAAAGGTTTGGGCAGCCTTAATATTTGCATATAAACTGAAACAGCTAGACTAGTGCATCCTAAATTTAATATAAATTCATTATTTTAATACAATATAGTCA